CAATCTTTCAATCTTCCAAATTCAATCTAAACCTAGCATCAATTTTCTCAATCAAAATCAGGGTCTCTGCTATAGTATAAGTCCCTCATTTCTTCTTCAAAAATTATTTTAAATCTTGGGCCTCTCCCTGATTATAAGACCCAACACCTTTTGTAAATAGAAAATCTTTTAGCCTCATTCATCCTGGGCTTTGTAGAGGATACACACAATCATCTGGGCCTCTATCTAGAGTGTAAGACTCAACACCTTTGCTTCTCTCCTACTTAAGATTACGTCATATTCAAGTTTAAATACAAATCATTTCAAAACTTTCTTCAATTTCTCAAAACCCTAATTCAATCTTAAAGAAAACATTTAATCAACCACAATACACTTGGACCTCTATCCAGAGTATAAGACCCACCACCTTTTCAAATTCAATTCATACTTGTTTATATACTTGTTCATATATTTGTATATATAATTGTGCATATCTTGTTAAGTTTCCCTTAGCATTTAAATCATCCTTAGTTTAGACTAGTTCAAATAATAGGATCCATTCAATCATTATAACTTAGTTCAAACAACTAATTCTCTATTGTGCAAAGGAATTCTTCTCCCTAGTATAGTCAGCCTCCTCTTGGGATTTGTTCAATTACTTAACCTTGAAACACTTCATTAAAGAGAGGATTATTTTCGATGAAACCTCTTCTTTAAACCCTTTTAACCCTAGCACAATTCAACAAAGAAAAGATTATTTCTCGGTGAAGCCTCTCTTGAACTTTTCTTAGACTTGAAAAGTCTCAATCCCCAACCTCCTCTTAAGCTTCATACAAGGACCCAGAGGCTTCCTAAAAGCACCCCTAGCCTCCTATTGGGCTTCATACAAGGACTCACAGGCTTCCTAAAAGCATAAGATAGATCCTAGTCAGCTTTATCAATACCCTAAATCCCAAGAGAGTCAAAACCTCTAGGACATTCAATCTCATCCTTTAAGTCTCTTCTAATCCTCAACAAGGGTTGGTTTTCACCTTAAAATCCCTAGCCAGGGTCAGTTTATAATCAGTAAATCCCCAAAAGGATCAAAGTCCTTGTGGCATTTAATAATTCAACTCTCTTCTAATATTCAGTAAGAGTCAGTCTCCACTTAAATTCCCCTAGCCTCCTCTTAGGCTTCATATAATGATTTCCCCAGTCAGCCTCAATCTTGGGCTTTGTACAAGACAGATATAACACTCCCCAGTTGAGTCAGTTCTCAATTTTTTCAGCTTCAACCTTGAGTTTTGATCAGGGCATAAAATTCAACTTCCCCACAGATGAGACTATAAGTCCTCTCTGCAGGAGGATATCCCTTATATACATCACATTTCAAATCAAATTAAACATTCAAATCAAACTATTTTACATAAAGGAGGATGTGGCATTGCTCTGGATATTTCAAAGTCCAAGTTAAAAGCTTCTTCCCTTATGTTAAAACTCATGAAGAAAGATATGACATTGCTCTGGATATTTCAAAGTCCAAGTTCAAAACTTCAAACTTCATGACATTTCACTTCTCCTATAAAGGAAGATGTGACATTGTTGGATTCTACACATCCCAGTTAAAGCAACTTCCCTTATAATCATTTTCTTCAATGTTTGTGATGAATAAGTGAAATATCTCCCTTTAGAGATGACAAATTCTCTCTCAGTCAAACTTTTAGCTTTACATCTCCGGTAGTGGTCGCGTCACTAAAACTGGAGCTACATTATCCATTTAGGCAAATATCTTTAAAACTTAATAAATTCTTATGAGTCTTAGAGGAATATAATATATTATCAATGTGTAATAGTGTTCCTCCACATAACAACACATTGGATCTTTCGGAGCATTCAATAGAGAGCTCAATATATATATAAAAATATTTTATGCCATATTTGATGAAAGCTCGATATTACATTAAGATGCATTATATTTGTGATTCGAAAGTAAAATAATTTCCCTTAGTCTATGGCATCAAAATCTTCAACCATGATAACTAAAGGAGACAAAAATTTTATGTAATATCTATTGGAAGCAAAAATAAGCTCTAAATAACATAAGAGACATGATATTTGTGATTTCACAATGTAATACAGGTTTTCTTGTAATTAATAACATCAAAAATATTAAATCATGACACATAAAAATCCAAACAATAATTAAGAAAAAATGTTAAAACATTATCAATAAGATGTAGGGCTGGAAATGAGTCGAGTCGAGTCGAACTCACCTCAGCTCGGCTCGACTCGTTAAGAATTATTCGAATTCGAGTTCGAGTTCGAGTTCGACACGAACTTTTTTTTAAGCTCAAACTCGACTCGTTATAAGTTCACGAACAGTTCGGTTCGACTTATTAGGTTCATCTCATTAGGTTCAGCTCACATGGTTCACGAACTTAAAAACTATTTTTTAAAATATATATATTTTTTAGTATATTTGACATTTTAAATAAATATATATTTTAAATAAAATATTAAAATAAAATAAAAGTTATCATATTGAAATTTAATTTTATCTTTAAAATCTACTAATTCAAAACCTACACAACTTTCAAGAGATACATTTGAGAGTCTAATTCAAAAACTACTAAATTGAAGATTAAATTTGTCTAAGATTTGAAGTAAATATTTAAACCTAATTTTAAAGACAGTATAATTCTTTTAATATGTAATCGAGTTGACTCATGAACCTAACGAGTCGAACTATGTATAGTTCAAGTTCAGCTCATTTAGTTAACGAACTTAATTTTTCGCTCATACTCAACTCATTTGGTTCATGAACCTAGTTCAACGATTTAATTGTCGAGTCGAATTCCGAACTATCTTCGAGTTGGTTTGGTTCATTGCCAGCCCTAATAAGATGAAATATATAGATTTATAATTTCAGTTATGCAACAAATGATACTCTAACAAATTTGTCAAATGCTAGAAAAAAATTACAATGATATGAAAATATAGTTATTCTTCTAGGATGTGTTAGAATCATCCATGCTATTCTTCTTGAATGATAATCATTTTATGAGTATATTACAAAATTTTAAATCTAAACACAAAAATCTTTGTCAAATCCTTCAGGAATATTTTAACATAATTCATACATTCTTTTTAGGAAGCATGTTATGCATGAAAATCACAATTGATATTTTCCTTGTCAATTAAGATATAATAGGTAGAATATCTAATATGTTTCATAAAACAAAAACAAACAAAAAATACTTGATAACTTCGTGTTACAAAGAAAAATTACAATATTTGCAATTCTTCAGAGATGGTTTTTACTAAGAAAAATTACAATATTTACAATCCTGGAACAATCCTTCTGGGATGCATTCCATCAAATTATGAAGAAAAAAATTGGATCACTTTTATTCAATTTTATTTATCAAAAATTTATGTTACAACTCTTTACACCCATAAAAGATTTTTTTTTTTTTTGTGAAATCTTTCTGGGATATTTCACTATTATTTATTCAATCCTTCTAAAATTCGATAATATTATTGATACAATTATTTTTCTAATTTTTTTTAAACATAATTGATGCAATCCTTCTTAGATTCATTAATATTATAGATGCAACCCATCTAGGATTCAATAATATTATATATGCAACCTTTTAAGGATGCTTGAATGTTAAATCTAGTCTTTGAATAATACTTTAGAGATGATTTAGTTCTACAAAAACCACATCACAAATTATTTTCATAAACACAGATCAATAAATATTATTTTTCGTGCAATCCTTCAGTGATGCTTGAATGTTAAATTAACACTTTGACGTGTTAAAATTCAATTTCAGACAATCATATAGAAATATTTTAATGTTAAATTCTTCTCGGATTTAACATGAATGATCAAAGAAATGTAATATGATTATACAAGATAAATAAATTTCTCTACAAAATATATATTAAAAAATAAACATATTTATATGAAAAAATAGTAATACGATCATGAATTATATTATATTTTATATGAAAAAAAATAGTAACAAGATCATGAATTATATTATATCGGTTCAAATATATTGATAGTAGAAAAATAACGTAGAATCTGACTATATCATCACTTACACTCTAGAGTTTCGTGCTGATAATATGTTATGAAATTAAACAAAATGATATAGAGATGAAGGAGACAAAGAAAAGAAGAAAAGTGATATTATATTATTCACCTTCATTAGCATTGCAACATGGACCATATTTATAGTACATAACCAATAAACAATCCAACTTAAATAATATATAAAGGTTAGAAAATTAGTTAAGGAATATAAAAAATTGGGTAAATGAATATCTATATCTATTTACTATTATTCATAATAAAAATTGGTTAATCACACGATTTTATATCAATATTATTTAATTACACAATTTTATATCAATATCATTTAATTTTAAAAATATAAAAAATATTTTTTTATATATTTGAAAAAATTATTATAGTATTATATTGTTCATTGTATTGATGAATAATAAAATAAAATAAAATGTAGATGTAGCAATGAGTAAAAGAATAACATTTTTCTTGAACTAATTAGGTTTAGGTGTATACAAGACTTGCATAAAAAAGAATGTATCTCTTTTAGCATTGAATTTTTATTATTAAAAAAGTGAATGTTTATTGGCATTGATTTATTATTATAGACTAATATTTTATCAAGTATAGCCGTTGCATCTTTCTCACGCTCCTTCTCTTTTTCTCTGCCGTTTTGTGATTCCAGCTACGCGTATTTCATCATCTCTCTCTCTCTCTCTCTCTCTCTCTCTCTCTCTCTCTCTCTCTCTCTCTCTCTCTCTCTCTCCATCCACACCATATATCTTTTTCTTAATCAACTCCACTCTAACCCACTCGCAAATCTTCAAATTTTCATCTCATTTTCTAACCTTATTGAAATTACCGATTTACACTCCCGAAACCCTAACCGCTCCTAAAATTATCGATTTCTGTAGCCGGAATTAACAATTCAATAGCCTTCACAAGTCCAATCTTTGCGAAGAATATGGCAGAATTAGATCCATCTAAGAAAGTAGCTGATAGGTATCTCAAACGTGAGGTCCTTGGTGAAGGTACCTATGGTGTCGTTTACAAAGCCATTGATACCCAGGTAAATCTTTTCCGCCTCTAATTTTGTGCTTTCATTTAATTTGTTAACTGATTATGAGAAATTTCAATGAAAAATAGTTTTTTCTCTCTCTGGGTTGTGAGAATTGGACCTTTAAATAAAAATTGGAAGTTAAGAGATGTTTAAATGAGTCATAGATAGATGGGTGTTGGAATCATGAAATAAGAAGAAAGAATGCATCTTTATATTGAACTTTGGATTAATGTAACGTCTCATGTTGCATTAGTATTTGAGCTTAGGAAAATATTATGAGTATGTTTCTTAAGTTGTTTAAGTTTGGATTTGATGCAGTTGTGCATTTTTCTTCTAATTAACTTGCAATGGTCAATTCGAATTTCAATTTTTTTTTGGAGTGGCGAGGGTTACTACTTACTAGCAATGTTATCAATTATCTGCTACGGCAGTGGATATACATGGTGATTTTTGGGCTCACCCCAATGATAAATATTGACCGTTATTGCGGGCTTTTCTGCTATGATCTGCTATAATGGTGCCGCAAAGTGGCACTGGCCTATATGGTGGGTTTTGCCTCTCCACCATGGACCGCCATTCGCGATAGAGAACACTGGTTTCTTGTTGATTTTGTTCTGGATATAAGATTTCATATGTCTTTATGAGCTGGCTTTTTATTCAATAGTGAAAATGATAGCACGTCAGTAGTACTATTATGATCCTGTGGTCCTTACAAAGATGTAATTATTTCATGGACAGACAGGACAGACGGTTGCAATTAAGAAGATTAGGATTGGCAAGCAGAAAGAAGGGGTGAATTTTACAGCTCTTAGAGAAATCAAATTGCTTAAAGAGCTCAATGATCCAAATATAATTGAGTTGATTGATTGCTTCCCACATAAAGGGAATTTGCATCTTGTGTTTGAATTCATGGAGACAGACCTTGAAGCTGTCATAAGAGACCGAAATATTTTCCTTTCACCGGGTGATATCAAATCTTACCTTCAAATGACGTTTAAAGGTCTTGCTCATTGTCACAAAAAATGGATATTGCATAGGTGGGTAATTTAACTAATTTGGTCATTAATAATTGAAATGTATTATTAGTTCATAACTGAAAAGTTTTCTTGTGTATTTTCAGGGATATGAAACCTAATAATTTGTTGATAGGACCTAATGGACAGCTGAAACTTGCTGATTTTGGTTTAGCACGAATATTTGGGAGCCCGGATCGCAGGTTCACTCATCAGGTTTGTACAATAGCATGCGAATCCCTTTGTAAATGTTTAAGCATGTAGACCACTTTGGAAATTGTTGGGAAAAAATTGCGTAGCCATCCCTATGTTCGGTTATTTGTCATTTCGTTTGTTTGCTTTCGTTGCAGCGGTACAACACTATAAATGTGTTGGATTGAACCGGTGGGTTTATTCCCACATTGCCTACGGATATCAGATATGGCCATTGTAATGCTTTTAAGGTTTGGACAATCCTCATCTTATAAGCAAGTTTGTGGGCTGAGTAAGGACCAAAACCTAAGATGACGTCAGAGCTATCTTAGATCTATTAGCGCCCATATTATCCAAGCACTAGACCTAATAGCCCTTGGCAATTAAGAAAAGCCCAAATCTTGCATTATTTATAAAGTCTAGGCAATCCTCACATAACCAAATTTTGCCTGGTTGAGTTTCTCTTGTTGGGTTGCTTGCATCACTAGCGTTCCAGGACTAACATGAATGGGTTGTGTTGAAAAATCTGCCTCAATTGCCAACACCCTTATGGTCTTTTTATTTTGCCACTTAGTCGGCATTCATTGCACTGGTGCAACACCTTTTGTGTGCTTGGTTGCGCATCAGGCCCAGTAGCCTTATGTTTTGGGGATTATAAAGTCTACAAATCACTGTATTACAAGCTGGACGGTATTGTAGAGTTGTGTTTGGCCTAACCCAACTTCCAAGGGGGCATTTGTTTCATAGTATCAAAATTTAATTCCAGGAGTAATTTTCCCAGTCATAACTTTGCAGGAAATAAATATTTTGAAATAGTGTTTGGGTAGTATTGTTAATTGCCAGGAAACTTATGTTTTATTTTCAATTTGTGTTAACAAAAATAGATATTACAATTCCTAAAATACCCTTCCGATTAAACTTGGTCTTATGATAAGGTATATTATTGTGATTTCTGAAGTTAGCGAACCATTGGAATAAATAATGCAGGAATAGTGGTTTTATTATATGTATCTGGAGAATTGGAATATGAATATTATATAAGTATCTTCTAGGTCACCGAATCATTGTTTTATCATAAGAAACAATGGCACTGGAGTAAAAGCACTTCTAGCAAACTTGCAAAATGGAATGAAGGTGCTTCCAAGATCGTAAATAAAAAATTAGGCGCAATAGAACATTGAAAGAAAAACAATTAGACGATAGAGACAGGGGAAAAAATTATATTAATTGTACAGGCGGAGTCATGTGGTTAGTGGAGGTTAGTCCAGTATATTTACACGCAAACTGATTCTATTACCTGGAAATGAAAAGTTTCCCACTTCTATTAGAGAGGATTAGAACGCTGGGCAACGTGGGTAAAGTCTTTCGTGAGCAGAACTATTTCCTGGGTACTATTCTAGGATAACCACGATAGTAATGTATAATCTGTTGAACTAGTAGCAGCTTATATTCAAACTTCTATGGCATAAAAAAATCTTTTTGAACCCTTGTTTTTCGTCCTTAGATTTAAAGGTTAGTAGTCTCCTCACATGTTAACTTTTGCAAAATATTGAACATTGCTTTTTCTTTTTTATGTCTGTATTCTTCACTTTCTCTTAATATATCTCTCGTACACATGAATAGGTGTTTGCACGGTGGTATAGAGCACCTGAGCTATTATTTGGTACGAAGCAGTATGGTCCAGGAGTAGATGTTTGGGCTGCAGCCTGTATATTTGCTGAACTTCTTCTTCGTCGACCATTTTTGCAGGTAAACTATGATTCTCATAGTGATGGATTATTTAGGTGGTAAATCATAAATGGTTGATATTCTGGAAACGATGGAATAGTTTGTTTTTCTTACTCATTACAAATTACCACTTATGAGCCATATATCATTTTAGGATGAGAATAACCATTTAACTTTATCACATAGTTTGAATTGCAGTCTCAATAACCATCGAAAGTTGTTCTACTGAATTAGGATAAGTTCAGAGGAGCAGGTGCTTTGGTGTAGAATATGTAGATATTATCGACTATTTATTAGTTTTGGCTTCCATCTTATTCCTGTTTTGATTTTTTCTCATACAGCTTTCTTTATAATCTGGATGTATAATGTCATCATCTATTGCATGAATTGATTTTATTCATTTGTTTATGTGTGCTTCATCATTGTTAAGAAATGTGGTTGGGGCTAACTCAACCTTACAAAACCGGCTTGTAGGGTGATTTTATTCTTTTGGTTAGTAATTTTACGAGTTTGATTTTATTGGTAGGGTTCAAGTGATATGGACCAATTAGGAAAGATTTTTGCAGCATTTGGAACTCCATCTCCTTCTCAGTGGTCTGATATGGTATACCTTCCTGATTATGTTGAATATCAATATGTGCCTGCCCCTCCTCTGCGTTCTTTATTTCCAATGGCAAGTGATGATGCTTTAGACTTGTTGTCTAAGATGTTTACATATGACCCGAAGGAACGAATTTCAGTGCAGCAGGCATTAGAACACAGGTATTACCTTAAAGATTCTGTTAAAGAAAAATAAATAGTAATTTATGTCTATTCGTTTTCCTTAATTTAATCTCCTCTTCCACTTCAGATACTTTACCTGTCCTCCTCCGCCCACAGATCCAGAGAAGCTTCCAAGACCTGCCCCTAAGAAGGAAATCAAGGAATCAGATTTGAATCCACGTGAGGGGCCCACAGTCTTATCACCTCCTAGAAAGACTAGGAGAGTAATGCCAGGGCGTGATGGACTTGAAGGAAGTTCATTGCAAGGAGATAAGGTTGATGATACTCATTCTAACTGGAAACAGGCCGCTGGTGAAAATAATACCGGGAAGAATGATCCTGCACCAATGTCACTAGATTTTTCTATCTTTGGATTAAAGCCTCCAAATAGGCCAACAATTAACAGGTAAATAGATAATAATATTGATCATCCAAGCGTTTCAAAGTTGTATTTTAGTTTGTACTTTGTGATGTGTGTCAAACATGAAATAAGTAGATAGTAATATTCTTGAGCTTACATATTAAACCATAAACATTTTATTAATGTTATTGATAGGCGAAAATATGAAAGACCTAATATTTGTTTGTGCATTTTTATTTCATAACCAAATGGAATCTCAAGGTTGAATGTAATTTTATTTTCTAAATTTAAAGGGTAGGGCTGTGTGAGTGCAACAATACTAGTACCAAAGTAGTTAATCCCGGATAGTGGCGTGGAGCGGCCGATCCAAAAAATGGGATAGCGGGATAGCGCATAGCAAAATGTCTGCTATTTGATCATTTTGACAAATTACATGGATAGTTATTATAAACATATGAAGTGCTGAGGGAAAAACGAAGTCCATAGAGAGGTGAGAGAGGAACTTATGATTTTTCTATGGATCAACTGAAGTGCAGAAACGTCAGTGAAAGAAGGTTAGGGTTGAGTCTCAACTCAAATTTGATTGAAAAACCCAAAATTACCCTTAAAACATTTTAAATTTAAAAGGTAATTTCAGTTTTTCCGGGGGTAAAGGATAACAGGCTGAGAACTGCTCCACCCCCGCTACCCGCTATTTACCCTATAGTGTCCGGCCTCTGCTCTGCTATAGCAGGATAGCGCCGCTATTGGCTGTTATTGACTACTCTGACTAGTACTAGGTAGTATACCGAAGTGCTTTCCTGCATTGCTTGTGCAATTTACACCAAACTTCTGAAACCATGTTGATTCACAATGTTGATTCTATGATGAAATTCATCACGTATGATGACTCGTGAGAAATCATATACGGGAAGGGATATATAGAATACTTATTCATATTTTGTTTAGATATTTCAAAAATGCTGCCCAAATGCTTTATATCTTTAAATATTTCTACTTGTAAGTTATCTCTTTTTAATTAGTTCTATTTATTTTGTTCTGCAGTGCCGACAGATCACATTTAAAAAGAAAATTAGATCTAGAATTCCAGTAACAAGAATGAATGTTCCATACGACCTTTCACCAGTACAAGATCTTTGTTGCTTCTCTGATAAAATGCTATGAATAAGCTTTTATTGTATTTCTGTCATTCCTTATTTACTGATCTGCATGAAGAAGCTGCTATGAATGTTTAAATGAATAACCACTTACAAGATGTTTAAATGAAGAAGTTGCAGTGCAAGCTGATAAGCATCTCATTTCAGCAGTATTTCAGAGACCAAAAATAACTTATCATAGAAGAAAAAGACACAGTAACCATACTCTGTTGACCCTTTGTTCTCAATTTGTGTTCTGTGTAAAAAAAAAAAAACTTGTACAAGTCCACAGAAGAAGGCTTTGAGTGAGGGCATTTTCTGTAGCCATTGCTGTATCTGACTCTAGAGAAGCAATGTTTGGCGAAACCGATTTTTGAGGACAATTTATTATTTATTATAAGAGAAATTATTGTTTGCACTTTGAGGGTAAAGTATGTACTTTCTTGGCTGCTTCAGACAGGTTTTTGTTTACTGAACAAAATATTTTGGAAGAGATGTTGGTTGATTGCATGCTTTTATGAGTGTGGGTTGTTCCATAGCAGGATGAATGCTTTGTTGATTATTTTGCCAAAAAGTTTATAAAACATGAAGTGTATACTTTATCTAAGTTGCAGTATCTATCTATTTATGATGGCAATGGTACTAATCCAACATTATGTCAATATTTCAACGAATTTGAAAAAATTCCTTAAGTCCTATATTGTGTGTTATTTGAAAAGTTTTCTTAGTGTCACATTGATTAGTTGAGATATCTTAGTTAGCTTACTTATTTCATTCTAAAACATACTAAACAACTTTTATTGAGTTTTTTCTCTTCATTCTCATAATTCTGTGTCTTTTGAATTGTCGAAGTGCTAACTTCTCACCCTTTCTTTTTATTCATTCAATTTGAGTATTTTCTTGAATTCTCTTTAGAGAATTATATTAATTTCTTTGTTTTAGTTGAGAAATTATCAAGTATAATATTTGAATTCTCTTTATACAATTATTCAAATTTCTCTTTGTTTGAGAAATTGTTGAGTAATCAAATGACTATTATTGAATTTTTTTTGGAGAATTATTGGAATTTCTCTTGGTTTGAGAATATATTATGACGGATCGTTATACCACAAGACGATACGAGTGGTATTTATATCATATTCGAATTGTCTTTGTACCATCAGAGAATGTATTTTTAGACCGATTATCTATCGTGTAAGTAGTAATTGTACAATATAGAATTGAGCTATTTTATCTTGGAGGTGATGCAGTAGTTCGTCTGTTTTGCATAATTTTGTACAGAGCAGCGAAACGTCTGAGAGAAGAATCATTCTGCGATTCATCTTGGTAACTTCTTCTATGGTTATTTTCAAAATCCGTGAAACAACAATTTTAAGACATTTGAAAAACTATCATGGCTACCGAATAAGTTATTGGTAATGCTACGGCTGACAATTCATTTAAGTTTGAGGGAAGTCACTTCAAACACTGATAACAAAATTAGCAGTCTTTTTTGAAAAAAGGTTGTCAATGTTCTGACTGATGACATTCCTGTTGCTCCTTATGGATCAATCGGGTAAATTAGCGGTAAGAAATATGGATTCATATGGAACACTTAATAGTGTTGAAGTTGAATTTGCTGCACAAATTAAAGCGAAAGATTTCCAACTCAAAAAACAAATCGCCTTATGGAAAGAGAATGATTATCTCTACAAAATCATATTTCTAATGGACTTGCAAATGATCAGCAATACCGCAAAATAGGTTCGGGAAACTATGAAAAAGAAGTATGGCATCGAAGAAGCTGGAGCAAAGAAGTATGTCGTTAACCGCTACCTAAAGTATCATATAATATAAATGAATAGTGTGTGGAGGCTCAATATTATGAACTTCAAAGATTGCTTATAAGATCATCACAAAAGATACGTGTTTAGATAAACAATTTCAAATTGCTCTTATTATTGACAATTGCCCTTAGTTTGAAAGTTTTTAAAAGTTTTGCTTCACCACAAAACAAAAGAATTTTTTATTTGAGAGACTGGTTATTCGCCTTCGAGTTGAACAAGAATCTCAGAGACAAGATAAAAAAGAAAAGTCTTGGTTGTTTCAAACAACAAAAAGAAATTTGGTGTAGTTCTAAAGCCATTTGAAAAATGATTAAAGAATCAGAATTGCAATGATGTGAACCGAATTAAGAATGAGAATCTCTCTAGGGCCTCATCTGCTCCGATTGCTAGGCAGCAACCACCACCTCAAAGAAATGACACTCCAGCGTTCATATGTTTTAATTGTGGAAAACCGAGTCATACGGCTAAGAGATGTAAGAGCGAGCTTAAACATTGTGTTGTCCCTAATGCATAGGTTAACCTGACTGATGATTAATTTATTGCTTTAATCACTGAAATCAATACGATTGGTGGTTAGACATTGACTTATATCGTCATGTATGTTATGATCGTGCAATGTTCAAAACATACACAAAAATGAAAGTGTCTTTGGGAGTTTCCCACATGACTAAAGTTGTCGGTATTGGAGAAGTCGAGTAGAGTCCACCTCTGAAAAAACTTTAATCTTGAAGGATGTCATGTATACTTCAGAGATTATAAAAAATCTTGTTTATGGGTTTCTTCTGAAAAAGGCAGTGTTTAGTCAGTCTATTAGGGTAGATTTGTACACAACCACTAAAAATGGTATTTTTGTGAAGTTGCTATGTGTAATAATTTTGCGAATGAAATTAATTTAGTAAGATGATTAAGAGACTTCGTAGTGATAAGGAAACTGAATATGATTCTGGTTAATTTAATGAATTTTATAAACAACATATAATTGTACATGTACCGACTGTACTATACTCTCCTGAAATGAATAGTAAAGCAGAAAGAAAGAATCAAACTCTTGCTGAATTTGTTGTTGCTATTATGTTGAATTCAGATGCTGCATGTCATTCATGGGAAGGAATTTTATTGATTGTTTGCTATGTCCTGAATACTTCTTGAGTCTAAAAATAAGATCTCTTATGAGATAATGAAGAAAAGACAACCAAACTTATCTTAATTTAGAACACGAGGTTGTCTGGCTTATGTTAGAATTTTGGATCCGAAGCGAGTTAAACTCGCTAGTAGAACCTATGAATTGTATTCATTAGGTATGCAGTAAATAGTAAGGCATATAAGTTTTATGACCTAAGAGCTAACGTGATCATAGAATCAAATGATTTTAAATTTTATGAAGACAAATTCCATTTCAAATCAAGAAATAGTGGGGGCACTGAATCAAATCACATTTCTGTGATAAGGAGCACCGAAAGCAACAACGAAGTAGAAACATAACTTCGACGAAGTAAACGAGTAAGAGTTGCTAAAGACTATGGACCCGATTATGCAGCCTATACAGTAGAGGAAAATCCAACAAATCTTCAAGAAGCCTTGTTATCTCTTGATGTAGATTTGTGACAAAAAGCTATTAACTATGAGATATATTCTCTAGAATTTAACAAGACCTGGAACTTAGCATACTTGCCTCCTGGTTGGAAACGAATAATTCTAAATGAGTTTTTAAAAAGAAACTAAAACCTAATGAAACAATGGATAAATACAAGGCATGCCTTGTAGCCAAAGGTTTTAGGTAAAGAGAAAATATAGATTTCTTCAATACATTTTCTCTAGTCACTATAATTACATTCATTAGGGTACTGATTTCAATTGCTTCTATTTATAACTTAATAGTACACCAAATGGATGCTAAAACTTTTTTTTAAATAGTGACTTAGAAGAAGAAATAAATTGGACCAACCGGAAGGGTTTGTAATCCATGGGAAAGAAAGCAAGGCCTGTAAGTTAGATGAATCTCTGTATGGTCTAAAACAAGCTCTAAACCAATGACCTGAAAATTTTGATAACTTAATGATATCGAATGGGTACAAAGTGAATGAAAGTGATAAATGCATTTATTACAAATTTGAGAATCGCATTTGCATTATCACATGTCTCTATGAACACGATCTACTCATACTTGAGTTAAACATTCATGCCGTTAATGATGTGAAATCATTATTGTGCAATAACTTTGATATGAAAGACCTCAGAGAAGTGAGCGTGATTCTTGGTATCAAGATAACGATATTTGAGCAAGGAATTTCTTTGGATCAATCACACTATGTGGAAAAGATCTTAAAGAAATATGATTACTTTGACTGTGAACACGCGAACACACCATATAGTCCAAACATGAAACTATTTAAGAACGCTGGTGAAAGTGTTAGACAAACAGAATATACGAGCATCATTGGCAGTCTTAGCTATGCCACTAGTTGTACTAGATCCTACATTGCATATGTCGTAGGATTGTTGTGGAGGTTTACTAGTAGACCAAGTAATGAGCATTGACAAGCTATTGAGCGAGTCATGTGATACCTTAAAAAGATTGTGAATCTCAGTTTGCATTATCAAAGATTTCCTGCTGTACTTGAAGCATACAACGATGTAGATTGGAATACTTTATCAAATAATTCCAAAGTAACTAGTGGCTATGTATTCAATATAGCTGAAAAAGTTGTATCTTGGAAATAAAAGAAATAGACTATCTTACCTCAGTCCACGATGGAGTTTGAGATGATAACATTAGCAACTACTAGTGAAGAAGCAAGTTAGTTAAGATGCTTGCGGGTTGAGATCCCTTTATAGGAAAACCTATGTAAGTTGTGTTGATCCACTGCGATAGTACTACGACTATTGCAAAAATTGAGAACAGTTAGTATAACGGTAAGTGACGTCAAATAAGGATGAAATACAACACTGTTAGAGATTGTATCTCTTAAAAAAAGATTGTAAGAGTGGATCATATACACACTAATAAAAATTTAGTAGATCCTTTAACGAAAGGATTAGCTAGGGAGAGGGTCTATGATAAATCCAATAAGATATAACTAATGCCTATAGAAGAATGAGTTGCTCGTGACAGTAACCCGACCTAAATGACT